ACATATATACACTACCAAACGTAAAATAGATAGCTAGTGGGAAGCAGCCACATAGCACATGGAGATCAGCTCGGTGCTTTGTGACCACCTATAGGTGTTGGATAGGGAGGGTGGGAGGGAGGGAGACACAAGAGGGAAGAGATATGGGAATATATGTATATGTATAACTGATTCACTTTGTTATGAAGCAGAAACTAACACACCATTGAAAATCAATTATACTCCAATATAGATGTTAAAAAAAATGAAATTAGAAAACTCCATAACACCATATACAAAAATGAACTCAAAATGGATTAAAGACTTTTAAATGTTAGGCTAAATACTATAAAACTCTTAGAGGAGAACATAGGCACAACACTATTTAGCATTAATCACAGCAAGATCTTTTTTGACCCATCTCCTAGAGTAAGGGAAATAAAAACAAAAATAAACAAATGAGATCTAATGAAGCGTAAAAGCTTCTGCACAGTAAAGGAAACCAGCAACAACAGAAAAAGACAACCCAGAGAGGGAGAAAATATTTGCAAATGATGTGACCGACAAGGGATTAGTCTCCAAAATATACAAACAGCTCATGCAGCTCTAGGTCAAAAAAAACAAGCAACCCAATTAGAAAATGGGCAGAAGATCTAAACAGATAGCTGTCCAAAGAAGACATACAGATGATCAAGGAGCATATGAAAAGACGCTCAACATCACTTATTATCAGAGAAATGCAAGTCGAAACTACACTGAGGTATCATCTCCCAGCAGTCGAATGGCCATCATCAAAAAGTTTACAAACAATAAATGCTGGAGTGGGTGTGGAGAAAAGGGAACCCTCCTACACTGTTTGTGGGAATGTAAATTGGTACAACTACTATGGAGAACAGTATGGAGGTTCCTTAAAAAACTTAAAATAGAACTACCATATGACCCAGCAATCTCACTCCTGGGCATATATCCAGAGAAAACCATAATCCAAAAGGATACAAGCACCCTAATATTCGTTGCAGCACATTTACAATTTCCAAGTCATGGAAGCAAGCTAAATTTCCATTGACAGAGGAATGGATAAAGATGATGTGGTACATATATACAATGGAATATTATTCAGCCATGAAAAAGAATGTATTAATGCCATTTGCAGCAACATGGATGGACCTAGAGATTCTCATACTAGGTGAAGTATGTCAGACAGAGAAAGAAAAATATATGGTATCACTTGTATGTGGAATCTAATTTAGAAAAAGATACAGCTGCATAGCACAGGGAGATCAGCTTGGTGGTTTGAGACCACCTAGAGGAGTGGGATAGGGAGGGTGGGAGGGAGAGGCAAGAGGGAGTGGATATGGGGATATACGTATATATATATCTGATTCACTTTGTTATTCAGCAGAAACTAATACAACATTGTAAAGTAATTATACTCCAATAAAGATGTTAAAAGAAAAAGATAAAAGTGAACTCATTTAAGAAACAAACTTATAGATATTGAAAACAAACTTATGGTTAACAAAGGGGAGACATGGCGCTGGTGGGATAAATCAGGAGCTTGGGATGAATACCTGCACACTGCTATATATGAGATGGATAACCAAATAAGACCTACTGTATAGCACAGGAAACTGTATTCAATACTCTTTGATAACCTATATTAGAAAAGAATCTAAAAAAGAATGATTATATTTATATGTATAGCTGAATCAGTTTGCTGTACAACTGAAACTAACACAACATTGTAAATCAACTATACTCCAATGAAATTAAAATATTAAAATAAAAATTTTTAGAAACCTGTCTGAAGATTTCAAAATAACCAGACAATATTGAACATTTTTCAGCATTTAATTCAGGAAAGAAAATTGGAAATTTCAAGCTCTTATGAGCTGAATACTCAGTTTAACTTCACAAATTCCTATTTGCTCTAAGAAAGTTCAATTTTATCTCCTCTTAGAGAATGTCCATGAAACATCCACCTGGCATTTCACTTTGAGTATCCTGGGAAAGGGAAGTATACTCTACACTTGTGGATTCATAAATCACTTGTGCTATGTGGAATAGAACAATTATACATAGCTGAAGTGTATAGACTGGTGTATATAAAACCAACAGAAACCACTTGGGCACGAACACATCCAGAATCTGAAAACCAAGTCACACTGAGATCATATACCTAAATTTAGTTTTCTAGAAGCTTACCAGGAACCAAAGTATATTGTTTTTAATGGTATCCCAGATAAAAATGGATGTCAAAGGTCATTGAGTCCAATCACTCTTCTGAAGCATGGAAGACAAGTCGAAACAGCAAATGGTTTGGATTCCAGGGTCTCAGTAATTAGCTACATTTCCATCAAGGAAACGGGAATAAGATTACCTGATTTCAAGCACTGGATTGCTGCCCTTCTCACCTTCTAATTTATTCTCTCTACAACCTTGGAGATCTTTTTAAAGTACAAATCTGGTCAAGTCACTCCTCTGCTAAAACTTTTCAATGTCTTTCTTTGCTCTTAGTGTTAAGTTGAAATCCCTTAACATGAATTACAGCTTCAGTTGGTCTGAATTCAGTCTATCTCTTCATCCTTATTTTAGTCCACTCCTCGTGTTGCTCTAATACTCTCATCATGTCCTTTTGACCTCAGCACTAGTCTATTGTAATAAACTGTTTATTTGTATACATCTACCATCTGGTAGTCTCCTCTATGAAGGCAAAGATCATATTTATGTTGTTTATTGCTGTAACATTGGTGACTATCATAGTGCTTGGAATATTGTAGGTACTCTACAAGTATTTGTTGAAAGAAGGGAAGGAGGGAGGAACACAGAAACAGTTGGAAGAAAAGTGTTATTTTTGAGGATAGACCAAACATAAAAATATTTTTATAAAGTATTATTAGAAATTATAAGATTTGGGACCAGTCAGAGAAAGTATCTTTTATAATCTACCCAGAAGGCAGTTCAATTTGTTCATCTATGTCTCCATTTGTGTTTTGGTGGGGGGGAGGTGGGGGGACAGATCATAACAGAACAAAATATTTCAATGCTCACAGTGTTTTAAATGATTCAATTCTTCAGACTTTATTGATCATTAAGGATAATTACAAACTCCCACCAATGTGAAAAAGATTATTAAAACTCAAAGACAACACCCAAATGCACAGACTCTGTGTTGCTTGTGGGGTTTCCTTTATTGGTCACATGTAGACAAAGCCAGCTATAGCAATGATATTTAAGCTCAGAGTATAACTCCTCACATGGTTGACCCATTCTTTACACATAATTTTTTTTAAATGGAGTTTCTATAAATCTACACTCACTTATACAAAGAGGAAACATATGTATTAGCTCCATGATGGGAAAAACCATAACCATGGTAGGAGTATGTAGGTGAGGTGGTTGATCTTCAGGAACTTTTCCTTACCCCATGGTCTAGAGAACAAAGTGCAGTGATCTAGAGCATTGATCTTGAGAAGCTTCCTAATTCCATTTAATATGGAAACTATTATCATATCATATGTATTATGCCCAGAATTGTGTTAGAAAAATAGGGAGAAATTTAAAAGAAGCAAAACCCTTATATAAATACCCTAAAAATGACATGTAGTTCTTAAGCAACTTTATCTTGATTTTATATTTGTAATTTCTTCCCCTTTCTCATGTGCTCCTCAGGAATCTGGAAATACTTGTCTTTTATCTAAGAAACCTTAACTTCCCTCTGTATATATGTGGTATCAAAAGCTTCAAAGTGTCACCATTTTGTTTGTTATTATAAATGAACATTTATTATCTATGTATTTAAAGTTTCTGCTTCTGGGGTTTTTTGTTAGCCTGGGATTAACATGGTAGTCATGCTAATAAAAATATCCATGGTCACCATTTCTACTTTACAGTTTTACAATGTGATTTCTAAGTCATTTAAATCATGGAACTAATGAAATCGCTTGTACACCAAAGCTTAGCATTAGGCCAAAGTCTACCAAGTAGGAGATATTCATACTATTTTCTTAGTATAGAGATATTTATCTTATCAGTACATTTATTCATTAATGTGATAAATATTAATAGAGTGCTTATTATGTGCTAAACATTTTTTGGGTAAGTTTTGTAGATATAACCATGAACCAAAAAGACTTGGTCTCTGCCCATATGGCACGTAATAGCTAACGCCTGGAGCTTGACATCTACCAGGCACAAAACAAGGATGACTTCAGCTGTCAAAATGTGTAGAGTTGTCAAATACAACCTTTAAGACAAATAGAGTTTGAAGTTTTACTCTGTATCTAGTATATATTTAACTTTAGAGAGTCCCTATTTATATTCATTATTTAGAAGAATAAAAAGAGACAATTATCTTTTCTATCTTATTCCTTTGATTTTTATAAACATTGAGAAACATTTTGAAAATGTTAGGATTTCTAGTGTGTTGCAGACCCTTAACATTTGCTCTCCTCTATTTTTTTTTTAAATTTTTGGCTGCATTGGGTCTTTGTTGCTGTGCGCGGGCTTTCTCTAGTTGTGGCGAGTGGGGGTTACTTTTCATTCAGGTGCACAGGCTTCTCTTGTTGCGCAGCATGCACTCTAGGCATGCGGGCTTCAGTAGTTGTGGCACGTGGGCTCAGTAGTTGTGGCACATGGGCTTAGTTGCTCCATGGCATGTGGGATCTTCCTGGATCAGGGCTCGAACGCATGTCCCTTGCACTGGCAGGTGGATTCTTAACCACTGTGCCACCAGGGAAAACCCTGCTTTCCTGTATTTTAAACAGGAATACCTAAGGAAGACAGAGACTGTGGGAAATGACAAACCTCCATTTACCTCTCAGTCAAGTCAGGTTTTCCATGTACTTTCTTAGGGTGCAAATTAAATTTTGTGACATAATTGCTATCTTTCAGACTGGATGGATCTACTCATATTATCTTAGATAATAACAGGATCAAGAAAAAAATAGAGTCTCACAAGTGACAGGCTACTAGTATAACGCAATGCCAAAGACAGGGGGAGAAGGCCAAAGAACACTTACTGGTAAGTGGTTGGGCTGACATTGATGCGTCGAGGGTGACTTCCCGATTCGAATTTGCTTGCCAGAGTGACATTATTTCCAAACAGGCAATATCGCGGCATTCTTACCCCAACAACTCCAGCCAGCACAGAGCCTGAGTGAATGCCTATTCTCATCTAAAAAAGAAAACGAAATATTTATGTTTTCATTTGGTATGCGATTATTTTAATAAGAGGTACTGCTGAACCATTAAACTCCTAGCTCCTCAAAGAAAGGGACTGGGGCCTTGGTCATTTTTGTGAGACAAATATCTGGACTATTATATCAATAGTATCAATGAACAAGGATGGTGTGGAATAAATGAACAAATGGATTAATTATAAGAAAAAAAACGACATTTACTTTTCTATTGTAACACAATAAAACCAGTTGTGTTACAATTTAAATCAGGTTTTATTTGTACCTAGTATGCTCTAATAAATGGAAAATGTATTATTCTCCCTCCAGTTATTCTGACAGAAAACCCTATTTTTTCCTTCATAGCATTAAACACAATTGTAAATTAAATAATTATATTTCTGTTTATCTGTTAATTTAAAATATTTTTTCTCTCTGTTTATTTTAGATCACTTCTATTTCCAAATTTACTAATCTTTTCCTTTGTAATGCCATATCTTTAGCTAATCACATCCAGAGTATTTTTCTTCTTAGATATAGTGATTTTCCTTTCTCAAAGTTCAATTTGAACTTTTTTTTTAATCGTTCAGGTATCAAATTAACTTTTGAATATATGAAATACAATTAAAATAACTGTTTTAATATATTTTTTTACATCTTTATTGGCGTATAATTGCTTTACAATGGTGTGTTAGTTTCTGCTTTATAACAAAGTGAATCAGTTATACATATACATATGTTCCCATATCTCTACCCTCCCTCCCACCCTCCCTATCCCACCCCTCTAGGTGGTCACAAAGCACCGAGCTGATCTCCATGGGCTATGCGGCTGCTTCCCACTAGCTATCTATTTTATGTTTGGTAGTGGGTATATGTCCAGAACACTCTCTCACTTTGTCACAGCTTACCCTTCCCCCTCCCCATATCCTCAAGTCCATTCTCTAGTAGGTCTGCAGCTTTATTCCTGTCTTACCCCTAGGTTCTTCGTGACATTTTTTTCCCCTTAAATTCCATATATATGTGTTAGCATACGGTATTTCTCTTTCTCTTTCTGACTTACTTCACTCCGTATGACAGACTCTAGGTCCATCCACCTCATTACAAATAGCTCAATTTTCTTTCTTTTTATGGCTGAGTAATATTACATTGTGTATATGTGCCACATCTTCTTTATCCATTCATCCGATGATGGACACTTAGGTTGTTTCCATCTCCGGGCTATTGTAAATAGAGCTGCAATGAATATTTTGGGACATGACTCTTTCTGAATTATGGTTTTCTCAGAGTATATGCCCAGTAGTGGCATTGCTGGGTCATATAGTATTTCTATTTGTAGTGTTTTAAGGAACCTCCATACGGTTCTCCAAAGTGGCTGTACCAATTCACATTACCACCAGCAGTGCAAGAGTGTTCCCTTTTCTCCACACCCTCTCCAGCATTTATTGTTTCTAGATTTTTTGATGATGGTCATTCTGACTGGTGTGAGATGATATCTCACTGTGGTTTTCATTTGCGTTTCTCTAATGATTAATGATGTTGAGCATTCTTTCATGTGTTTGTGGGCAGTCTGTATATCTTCTTTGGAGAAATGTCTATTTAGGTCTTCTGTCC